CGGAATGTTAGGTAGCAGATAACCACAATGCCTACAATGAGGAGGGTAATAATAGAGGATGGTAATGCTGATGGTGAGGGTGATGATGGTGATGATGATGATGATGATGATGATGATGATGATGATGGTGATGGTGATGGTGATGGTGGCGATGGTGACGGTGATGATGGCAGCGATGACAGCAACAAAATGTAACTATGGAGGTGATTGCAGGCTGCATGGAATATAGTTGCGTGTGAGGTTAATCCATGCAAAACCGACAGGATTGTTTCGCTCCATAACTCGAGATGCCACAGGGAATGCCTGCGCACGTTAAACCTTGGTTTCTTTGTGCCAACCAACACCTTGTATGTCGCAGCAGCCAGCCGTATTTGGTAGGTGTTTTTTGTCATCCAGGTTAAAGTGATTACGTCACCGTAAATAGTAAAAGTAAAAAAAACTTACATTTGTAGTTCATACACAAATGTAGTTTCACAATTGTAGTTCAAACTTACAAAATGTAGTTCACTTTTTATGGTTAAATTACTGCATTATACTTCCTATTTTGCTATTCCGATGTGAACAAACACTCGTGACTCATACATAGCCCATAGCAAGCATTTAATGTCGTGATCATCATATCAAATTGCCTAGGTTTTTTGGATTTTTAACTAGTTGAGAAACAATCTTATCAGGTAAGAATTTGAGGATACATTTAGTCCCGTTAGTACTTACTTTACTTTATGTAAAAAAAATGCAACAAAAATTTTACAAATATACACCATAGAAAATTTGCGACGTAGTCAATAAAAAAAAACCAGTCTAATAGCAGTGATTGATTACTCGAAAGCTGAGGATTATCAACGATTTTCTTTCATAGTCGCAATTTAGCGTCAAATGCGTGTGTCATGAACTTACGTTGCCAAAGCCTGACTTCACCACAGGTGCCACAACTTGCACAGGATCAGACTATTTGTGACTAGGAGGATACTGCATGTGTGATTTCTGTGTGAGAGTTCTGTGTATACAACTGCTTTATGATTTGATTGCAGGGTTCTGTGTAAGTCACTAGTGTTCAGTTTGCATTCGTGGCACGCTACCCTTCTCGACACACGTCTGATGCTAGCCACTGATGCAAAGCTGGTAAGCATGAATCTAGGAGAGGGGGGATAGAAGACCTTGGTAAGCATGAATCTAGGAGAGGGGGGATAGAAGAATCGAGGAGGATCAATCTGGGGAAAGACATGAGGGGTAAATCTTGGGAAAGTGCCGAGGTAGAATCTGGGGGAAGGGCTGAGGGTATATAGATATGGAGGGTTAATCAGGGTGTGAGGGAGTTGGAAAAAAGTTAGGGTACACAAGGGGGGAGGTGAATGTAAATCCTCGGAAGGTGGGACTTGGAATCCAGTGGGAATATTCCAGGTTATGGTAAATCTCAAAATCTGGGAATGATACTCGAGAATAGTTAGGGTGAAAATAGGTGGGGAAGGTTAGGACGAAGCGTTAGGGTATATTGCGCAAGGTTAGGGTGAAAGCTTGCGAGACAGGGTCACCAGCACCCCATGCAGCAGCTAGCCGCATGATGCTGTGAGTCAGTGTGTTAGCCAGAGACCCGTCTACCCGTCTTTTGGACGGTCTATTCTCAGCAGACTGGGGATGAATAAATTTGGGGGATAGAGACGCCAAGCGGGACAGAACGTGAAGCCTACTTGTTCTACACAAATCATTATTGCTCTGTAACTAAACTGCGTTGGGTGGCGTTACTCATGTAAACACATACGCAATATGCAGTTTTATAGATCCCCATAAAAAAGAGAAAAGAAAAGCAACAGGGAAATAAAAAAAAAAAAATAATGAAGAGTAAGACGACGCTACTCTCTCTCTCTTTTACCCTGTCTGCCAGCGCACACACTCGTGTTTTACGTACGCCACAACATTTTCACGCAGTTAATGTTATGGAGCCAGTGGGGGTTGTGTAGCTAACAGTGGCGTTCGTTGTCATGCCACCGTGACGTCACACTTCGGCTATCTCTATAATGGACAACAGTGTTATAAGAATATAAAAATCATGTCAGATTCCTGTTATTTGTGGCATTTCAGACTTAATTTACTCAATTTTAAGGCCCTCCCCCCTCTAGCATCCTCGCTTTGCTCAGATGGTGAGACTCCCTGATTCTTTTTCCATGGCTAACACCCTGTTGTGAGTGGAAGCTACTGTCCTGAGTCAGAGCGATGCAGCATTTGCTCTGTTGCAGGTGGCTCGCCCCGTAGGAGACCTGCTCACGTGGCTCGGACCAGAGCCTAATACCCATTCCCACACAGTCGTTGAGCTCTACTCTTGTATTGACTATTTCGTGTATCAGAGTACGAGCCTAGGTATTTCATTGTTGTTGCCCTATGTGGACATGGGAGGAGAAGAGGCTTATGTTTACCTGTGTTGCTATGTGACAGGGAGGAGGAAGAAGGCTGTATGTTTACCTGTGTTGCTATGCCGACAGGGAGCGAGGAATGAGGCTTATGGTTTACCTGTGATTGCTTATGCGACAAGAAGGAGAAAGAGGCTTATGGTTTACCTGTGTTGCTGATTGACAGGAAGAGGAGAGGCCTTATGATTGTTACCTGGTGTTTGGCTATTGTGACAGTGCAGGAGAAGAGGCTTTATGTTTACCTGTGTTGGCCTATGTGACAGGGATGGAGAAGCGGCTTTATGTTTTACTGGTGTTGCTATGACAGGGAGGAGGAGTAGGGCTTATGGTTTACCTGTGTGCTATGTGACAGGGAGCGAGCGAAGCGGCGCTTAATGTTTACCTGTGGTTTGCTATGCAGGGAGGATGGAAGCCGGACTTATGCTTTACCTGTGTTGGCTATGACAGGGATGGAGAAGAGGCCTTATGTTTACCCTGTGTTGCTATGCACAGGCGGCAGGAGGAAGCGGCTTATGTCTTAGCCTGTGTTGCATATGACAGGAGGTAGGAGAGGCCTTATTGTTTACATGTGTTGCTATGTGCAGGGGAATGAGGAGGAGGCTTATGTTTACCTGTGTTGCTTATGTTGACAGGGCAGGAGAAGAGGCTTATGTTTACCTGTGTTTGCCTATGCGACAAGCGAAGAGGAAGAGGCTTATTGTTTACCTGTTGTTGCTAATTGTGACAGGGAGGAGGAGATGGCCTTATGTTTACCTGTGTTGCTATGCTGACAGGAGGAGTGAAGAGGCCTTATGGTTTACCGTTGTGTTTGCTATGTGGACAGCGGAAGAGGAAGCAGGCTTATGTTGTAACCTGTTGTTGCTATGTGACAGGGGAGGAGAAGAGGCTTATGTTACCTGTGTTGTCTATGTGACAGCACGGCAAGAGAAAGGAGGCTTATGTTTACTGTGTTGCCTTAATGTGACAGGGAGAGGAAGGAGGCTTGTTTACCTGCTGTTGCCTATTGTGACAGGGGGAGGCCAGAGAGGCTTTATGTGTTACGGCTGACCTTGTGTTGCTACTTCTCACAGGGAGCGAGAAGACAGGAGCGGAGTGTTTCCTGTGTGGTCATCCGATAGGCGGCCCGGATAAGGCATGCTAATGTTAACCCGTGTTGCCTATTTCAACAGGGAGAAGCGGCTAATGTTTAACTTGCTAATGTTATGCCATTTCAAGGAGCGCTTAAGGAACATTAGGCCGCTTTCCACGCCTAGGTTTCCATTGGCGATAGGCAACACTGCGGCGTGTAACATTAACGCGGGTCCTGCGAAAAATTTCCTCCTCTGTTTTGACGGCGTCCGAGAGCATGAATAAGCAGCGAGGATTTGTCCGAGGCACCGCGCTCTATCTGCTCCAGCCGGATCCGCTCCTCCGCCGTTCGCTAGAGGTAACTCCCGGATCTGTACTGCCGAACTTCGCCTGACGCTTGACTCGTCCACGCCCGTCGAACGGTCGGCTTGCACGCGCTCCGCCGGCCGTCGAGTGCAGTGGTGGCGCCCTCCGGGGACCGGCAACTCCGGCGACCGCTGCGCGGGCGATTCGAGGACGCCTGCTGCGCGGGCAGGGAACGGTACGCGCGGCGCCTGCCGAAACGTGCGCGGACTACGTGACGTGCGCGGCACGATCCCGGTCATCAGCGCGCGCACACGTGTCGGCCTGCCGCCGTGACCTGCGGCCCTCTCGGTGCCAGCGCTGCGCGAGCGGAACTCGTGCGCGCGGGGGCGGACGCGAGGCAGCCGCGGGCGCGGGCGGGCTGGTGCCACGTACGTCGCGCGCTTGGAGCGACGCCGTGAGGGCCGCGCCGGCCCATGAGCAGCAGCTGCGACTCTTGAATGACGAGTACCTGCGAGCGGTGGGCGGCGGCAGCAGCGCCCCCTGCAGGCGAACGTGCGAGCGCGACGCGGACGCCGCGATCGACGCGCTCGTGAGCGGGAAGTGTCTGGCCGAGTACAAGCGCGCGCTGCGTGAGCGGGGCGGCGTGTGGCTCGACGAGCTCAGGTGCAAGCGCGGCGAGCTGGGATTACCTATGGGCAAGGCGAAGACGAAGCAAAGCAAGAAAGGGGGCGCTGCAGCTGCGAGTCGTCCACCTGGAGGCACCGCAGTCGTGAGTTGTCCACCTGGGGGCGCTAGCGAAGAGCAGGAGCGGCGGGCAACGGCCGAGCCAGGCACTAAGAGGAGGCGGGAGAGTGACTGCGAGGTCTCTCGACTCGGGAAAAAATCGACGGCAAGGAAGCAAAAAAAGCTTAAGCGACAGAACAAGAGAACGGACGTGAAGGCGAACCATGCGGCGGCACCACCAGCACGGCGCAGCGAGAAGAAAAGTCGGCGGAAGAATCGAGAAGCTGCGACCGCGAACAATAATAGGTCAAAACCAGGTGCCAAAAACAAGCGAACACGTGTGTCTGGCAGAAGCAAGGTTCATTAAGCTAAGGATGATCGATTGGGCAGACAATTCGTAGCAGATTCAAGATTCAAGATTTAAGATTGAGCAGGTTTCGTGATTTTAATTTTTATTAAATAGATAAATTGTTAAGAATAATCCTTGTAATAAAATTGTACGATCAAACGAAGTAAAAATGTTAAGTTTATTATATTGGTATGTAATTGTGAGTTATAATAACGAAATCGGGTGTTGTTTTCCAACTTTAGATAGCAATGTCCTGACCTGACCTGCTATTTATGGATTTCAGTATTATTTTCCCTCTTTAGCCATAATGCACACCTTTACTGCTTCTAGTGATTCCCTGCAGTAAAACCAATTGGGTTCAAATGGCAGCCTTCCATGTATCACAGTGCTGCTGCATACGTATGGTACCTAAAATTTGTCATGTCGACGTAAGTTTCCAAATACACATTTTACTCTATTACATGTACAGTCAAAACTATGTGTAGTGGTCACTCAAGGGGAAATTCCTTAAGGTGTCAGTTGTATAAATGCTGTTTCACTGTATAATGTGTGTTGTATGGGAAATAGCAAGTGTCATACGTAGACAGCTATGGATTCATTCTATAGAGGTGACCATGAGCATTAATGTATGACTGTACATCCACGTGCTAATATTCTGTACTGGCGATGAACCAGGTTAGCAACAAAATATCAATAATAAACGTATTGAATCGATTGATAACAGCCCTCGTCAGATCTAAAGATTCATACCCAGGTTCAAGGTATAACATTGCATAATACCGTTGGCAATGTCTCTCAGTGTAAAGATCCTACTGAACCAATTTGACTGGTAAGTCCATTTGCACATTTTGTGTGTCGTCATAGTGGAGAGCACACAGCCGTGTTTTCTCTGGGAGGTTCATAGCCTGTAAACATGTAGTTTCTGCCGAATATAGAGACTGCATATGCTTATGCTTGAGAAACATTTTAGACGTGCTGTAGAAACGTTTTGTTTGTGCTTCCTCACAGAATCAGCATTGTTTTAAAGTCAATACTAGTATAACGTACATCAGGTATCACGATAATATTTGTCAGTCTGGCGATTACATAGGCATACATGTGTAATCCGGTTGACAAGCATATAGTAGGACCGTAGCCAACTCATTTCGTGTGGAGTGTGGGCAAAGCCGCGTGTGGTTTGTATTCTGAACAGTTGACTGGGCAGTTTGCCAAGGCCATCGTACATGTAATAGTATCAGGGGTTAATAATGACAAATTTGTCATTATTAACCCCCTGATAGTATCTATATTGCTATGGAAGGAGTCAACTGCTCCTCCCCCCCCCCCCCTGCCCCACGATAGCAATGAGTGCTTACATGTTCTAGACAATGCACTATGTAATCGCATATTCTGCAACCTTGAATTAAATAATTCAAAGTTTGTTGAATGCAGAGCGAAAGCAGTACCTCTCCCATTTTTTAGAATATACGGTTGCAATTCAAAAGGTTTTTACTATATATTCGCGAGTTTGAAGCACTCTTCCATTTCAATTGGCGAGCATATTGTGCCACGTTCTGGAAGAATCTAGAAAACAGAAGGGCATGCAGTCATGAAAGGGGTGGGTTCCCGACCGCTGGATTCCCCCCTCTCTTGATCCATCCCTGTAAACTCCCCCTGCTATTGTTACAGTCACTCCATCCGATGTTGGCAGCACTGTCGGACTATTGGTATTGTTTAAATTAAACGATTCCATAGCAGTACGCTCGATCGTATCTCGTCGCTGGATGGTCCGGTACTTTAGACGTTAGCATAGATGTCGAAACCTTCCGAGTAAGTCTCTAGCACATCGTAGCAGAACGTGAACTGATCCTAAAGTCAGAAACCAAAAAAGAAAAGATCAAATGAGCAACAGACGGTCTGCTTTTAAATTGGCACGTGTTCGATGGTGTATACAAATATTTGCTGTGCTGGAGTGCCTATTTCGGGATTTTACATTAATTAATAGTTGCATATGCTTTATTACCATTAATGCGCATGTGCTATCTGATTGGCTCTCATCAAGAGCCATTGGCTATATTTGATTGGCTCTAGATGTAACGTCGTTCATTATATTCAGCTTCTCAGTATTATTTACGTCACACAATGTTACACGGAAAGTCGTGACGAACTTATACACGCGAAATTGGCTATTTAAATATATATATGTGCACGGTTCTAGGACAAACCCCCTCTGGACAATCAACCCCCCCCCCCGTCCGACAAATTGCCTGTGAGGTGAATGCATGGATGTGATTTAGAAGAATGTGATTATCTTGGGGGTGGGATGTACGTGATGTAATTGTCCGGGGAACATTCTTCCGGGGGTTGGTTGTCAAGGTGTAATTGTACGGGCAGTAATTGTCCGAGGAGTAATTGTCTGGGGGTATATTTGGGGGGAGGGGGCGTTAATGGCATGAGGGTGTTTGTATAGGGGGTTATTGTTCCTGGGTAACTGTGTAGGGGGTTATTGTTCCTGGGTAACTGTGTAGGGTGTAATTGTTCCCGGGTAACCGTGTGAGGGGGAAATTGTCCAGAGTGTGATGGTTTAGGGGTATTTGCCCAGGTGGTGTCTTAATACCATATGCGCATGTACATGCACTCAGGTGCGTGTGCACACAGGCACTTCGGACAGCGTCAGTAAAAACACATATAAATGCGAAAATAATATGAACGCACATTCACAAATACTACCCCTCAATGGCACTTCCACTGTTGTGTCACTGTATATCAACTTGCTTTCACAATAACTACTGCAGAACTAGCCGCTCCCGCACTCGCCGCTGCGAGTGTGCTGTGTCGCCATTATAATGATAGAGTCTATATATATCATTATAATGGCGACCAAGTTTTTACTGACTCTGTCCCAAGTGCCTGTGCGTGTGCACGCACGTACACGCGCGTTCGTACGCGCGCGCACACACATGAACACGTATGTATGTACATGGAAATGTATGGACTCGTACATAGGTTCGCATGATGTCGGTGCAGGCGTCCATGTGTATCTTCGCTATCTGTGGAATGTCGACCTCACTGCTGTTGCGTGCACTTATCACGCTCTCCGCCAGCACCGAAAACGTGCCGGCATCCGTCACTCCATCCCTGCAGAACACCATCGCAATTGTTTGTAAGTCACTAAAGTCTGTAAACTGTAAGTCATTACGGTGTTTCACGAGTGCACTGATCTCCGATGCTCATAGAATTTGTTGACTCGCATACCCTGTAATTTTACCTGTTACACGCACATGCTTGTAACAAACTAAATATATAAATAAAGTAAGGAAAGAAGAAAGAAAGAGAGGGAGTGATTAACAAACAAATAACGAAAATAGATATGATATCAGAAAATATCTAAAAATATCTAAAATATCTAGAAAGATCTTAAGATTAGATCTAGAAATATATAAAATAGATATAATATCGATATGATTATTCACTCCTGATAATATCAATGGGGAAGCTGACGCATTTTTAAACACCAGCTCCCCCTAGCGGGACTTACGAGCTGACGACGGCGACGCTGCGACTTGTGCACATCTGCAGCCACTTGTACATGGCGTCTATAAGGTAGATGACTCCGTGCTTCGGCTGCTGCTGGCTGATCGGCCAGCCGCGCAGCAGCGAGAACTGGTGCACCACGCGCTGATCGTACGCCTGCAAAAAATACCTGGTGTTAACGTAACGGCATGCAATCGCGGTCCTTCGATGCCGGGCCGTAGTTGCACTGATCTATATGTACAGATCATATAGATCATATATATATATAGAGAGAGATCAGTTATCAGTTATATATAGATCAGTACGTAATTGTTTGCAGTGCAGCGCCACCTGGTGTTTGCAAGCTGTGCTCAACTAGACAAAGGTCATCTAAAGGCCAATGAGAATTTTCCCTATTGGAGCTGGTGCCATCCGGTCCACGAAATAACACGTTTTCGCCGTTGTTGTTTTTTATTATCAAGAATGGACAGTATAGGAATGCTATCAACTTATTTTAGACTTTAAAATGGTATTTGAGTTTAGACTAATTTTAGAATTAAAAAAAAGAGAGTAAATTTTGCCTAATCTATAGCAGGGTCGTCCCGATTTGCCACTGTACACTCTATAAATGTGACCCTCTCTTGGTTTCATCCCACTCACTGCCACTATAATTGTTCATGAAGAGGGGCCGTTACGATTGCTTTTCGAAGACGGCGTCCGTTATTTGAAACGGGTGACACTAGATGGCGCACCTGGTTGCGGACGTGCACGGTGAACGAGCGGATGGCGACCTGCGCCTGTTCTTCCTCCGTCGACGCATGCTGCACGACGATCTCACCGTATTCAGCCACGCTGTTCTCCAACCAGTAGGGTGTCTGCACAGAATAGAACCAGAATAGAAGCCCGTGCGTCACTCTCGGCTCTAGTGTGGAGATTCTAGTCCTGCATGCAACAGCTCTTAGCAACGAGCTTTTTTATGGCTATCGCTTCGGCGCTCTTGTGGATGATTATAAGAAGGAAGCGAGAAAGAGAGAGAGATGAAGCGAAAGAGAGAGAGAGAGAGAGAGGAGGCGAGCGAGGGAAAGAGAGACAGAGTAATACCACGTGTGCACAAGCAGAGAGAGACACAGAAAGAAAGAGTGAGCAAGAACGAGAGAGAAAGAGGGCGAGAGCGAGAGAGAGAGAGAGAGAGAGAGAGAGAGAGAGAGAGAGAGAGAGAGAGAGAGAGAGAGAGAGAGAGAGAGAGAGAGAGAGCGCGAGACAGACAGACAGACAGAGACAGCTGTACACGTTGAAGTGAATGTGAAACGCGTACCTCGAGGTGATCCAGCAACACTATCGTTGATATGTTGTAATCGAACACCATGCCCCAGAAGTCTGCTGCAGTGTTGGCCAGCGGTGTCTGAGCCGCAATCACCTTCTCCGTCCACGTACACTGTCGCACAGCAACAAAAACTCGAATACAACGCAGTGCTACCACTTTCAATGCCATGCAACAGCGTACGAGGTTATGTGGAGGACACACACGTTACCCTGTCTCTTCTTGATTTGATGAAATGTATGTAATTACAGGGCTCCTTGTCAGAAACTTAAAATTAGTCTTAACAGTAGTCTTCACCTTTTCTCGTAGAGCGGACCGTTGTACACTGCGTGTAAAAAACTGGTAACTTTACAATGTTTCTGTCAACGGTCAATGAGAAATAGTTCATGTAGACTTATATCTTAAAATGATTACGTCACCGTAAATAATATTTTTTTTCTTCTATTTTTTCACAAACTATAAGTAATTCTGTTCACTTTTTATGGTTAAATTGCTGCATTATACTTCTTATTTTACTATATTGTTCGATGTGAACATACACTCGTGACGCATACATAGCCCAGAGCAAGCAATTAATGTCAAGAACGCTATTATCAAATCGTCCAGGTTTTTTGGATTTTTAACTAGTTGAGAAACAATCTTATCGGGTAATCTTTTAATGTAAAAAAATGGCAACAAACATTTTACAAATTTTATCATAGAAAATTCGTGACGTAGTCGATTTAAGACAAATTTTGTTTCTGACAACAGGTCTCTGATCTTTATGATTTTTCTACAGGACGTTCTATTCAGTGTCACTAAGATTTGGATTAGACATTTATGCTTAGAGAAGTACCCAGATGTTTAGGCATATTCAAAAAGTGCGAAAACGGTCGGTCACGTATACATTAGCTCACACATATGTACCGCAGAATTCCAGTCTGTTGCCTGTGGTAGTAACGCAGCAGTGTGTACTACATACAGCAACATTACCATCCGTTCGTCCCGCAAAAACAATGTGAGTATTCATAACTGCTCAGTGTTAACCACCCCACTGTTCAAAGTCACCTCACCCACTTTTCAATACTATAGATTTAGTTTCGATGTATCGAGGGAAGCGTAGTAGACTTAATGAGAATTGATGAATTGTTATCCCAATATATATATATATATATATATATATATATATATATATATATATATATAATTATTAACTTTCTATTGTCATTATTATTAATGTTAGAACGTGTGAGACAGTTGACTATAGTAGCTAGAGTAGCAGCAGTGGGGTAATGGTACTTACTGTGACAGACCTAGCGTTGATATAGTCGCTGTTATCCTCTTTATTGACATTCTGTAGGGTAACTCTCTGTTCATCATCTGTGAGGTAGGATGAATGGGATCGAGCAGGGTTGTATAAGTATAGGAGATATACTATCCACCCACCCATCCATCCACCCACCCACCAACCCATTCAATCAATCAATCAATCTAACCGTCCATTCATCAATGTATTTAGGCATATTTTGAATAGACACAGTAGTAATTTAACCTCCCTAATATTACCATCTCATGCGTTACATTATTAAAGAGTGAAAGTCAGTTGAAACAATCTCTACGGTTGATGCAACTTTATCGTCATTACCTGGCAGGTACTTGGAACATCTGTTCTTCAACAGGTTTACCTCTGTCGTGGCAACAGTTACTGTTCCTTGGTAACTGCTGATCGCTATCTTCCTTAGCATCTTTGTGGAAACATAGACAGGAATAAATGATCACAATAAAAAAGTACATGACATCCATCCAACCATCTATCCACCCATCCATCCATCCATTCGTCCGTCCGTCCGTCCGTCCGTCCACCCACCCATCCATCCATCCATCCATCCATCCATCCATCCATCCATCCATCCATCCATCCATCCATCCATCCATCCATCCATCCATCCATCCATCCATCCATCCATCCATCCAGCCAGCCATCCTTCTTCCATCTATCCATCCATCCATCCATCCATCTATCTATCCATTCATCCGCCTGTCTGTTCGTCCGTCCGTTCGTCCGTCCGTCTGTCTGTCTGTTAGTCTTTCTATCTGTCTGCCTAGCTGTCTGCCCTGCATTTCTCTCTGTGTATGTGTGTATGTGTGTGTGTGTGTGCGTGCGTGCGTGCGTGCGTGCGTTCGTGCGTGCGTGCGTGCGTGCGTGCGTGCGTGTACGGTGTAGTACCTGGTATAGGGAGTGCAGCTTGCAGCCTGTTCCTGCCTTCTCCGTCACGCTAAGGTGTTTGTAAATGTCAGAGAAACCCTGCATCTTGACGCGCGTGTCGCCGATAACAAGCACGCTCACCAGGGCGTCGTGCAGGAACTCGTACTGGGCCTGCGTGCCAACAACCATAGAAATATATAAAGACACTATATATCTAATGCGTATATCGTCTATATAGTATTTAATTCTATTGTGGCAACAACCAGCAATCGTTACGATTACGTCGACTATCGTTCGACTATGTTGATAGAAGCGTCGTTACAGGCTAATGTCAAGACTGTATTTTTGCTTTGGACAACAAGCCCCTGGTTGTAGCATTGGTTCTAGTTACCTGACTGCTAGGTATCACCATGAGTAGTAGCATATACAAGTAATCCCAGGTTTTTACAACGACTAGCAGGTTCATAGCATCACTACCAGGTTATCCATGACTAGAAGGTTATGTATTGATTATCAGGTTATATCATGACTAGCAGGTTATATCATGACTAGCAGGTTATATCATGACTAGCAGGTTATATCATGACTAGCAGGTTATATCATGACTAGAAGGTTATGCATTGACTAGCAGCTTATATAATGACTAGTAGGTTATATCATGACTAGAAGGTTATGCATTGATTAGCAGCTTATATCATGACTAGAAGGTTATGCATTGATTAGCAGCTTATATCATGACTAGAAGGTTATACGGTGACTAGCAGGTTATACTGTGACTAGAAGGTTAGGGCCTAATAACGGTGACTAGAAGGTTATACGGTGACTAGCAGGTTATACTGTGACTAGAAGGTTAGGGCCTAATAACGGTGACTAGAAGGTTATACTGTGACTAGAAGGTTAGGGCCTATACGGTGACTAGAAAGTTATACGGTGACTAGAAGGTTATGTATTGACTAGCAGGTTATATCATGACAAGCAGCAGGTCATACCATGTCATCTAGTGTAGATTATTATAACACGTGTCTTCCTAGTCCTGCAGCATGTTACCATGTTCTGTGTCAAAATAGTTGTTTCTCTCTCATGCTACCTTGTTCTATATCGTGTTGCATAGTTCTGTATCATATGATCGTGGTCTGTATCGTGTGTAGCTGGTTCTGTATCATGTTACTTTGCACTATATTATGTTATAATTGTCTGTATCGTGCTACCATGTTCTGTGTCATGTTACCATGGTCTGTATTGTGTTACCTTGTTCTGGATCATGTTACCATGCTCTGTATCGTGCTACCCTGTTCTCTATCCTGTCACCATGGCCTGTATCGTGTTATCTTGTTCTGTACCGTGTTACCTTTTCTCTGTATCACGTTACGATGGCGTGTATCATGTTACGATGGCGTGTATCATGTTACCTTGTTCTGTATCATCTTGATGCGCTCGGCGCGGTTGAGCGTGAATTGTCTGCCTGCGTCGATGAGGTGTTCGCTCTCAGCCTGCTGCATGAGGCTGTACAGCGCGATGAACGTGCCTGTCCTGCCCACGCCGGCACTGCAAGCACAGCTAGGCGCTATCACAGCGAGCACTCTCTACGCACGCACGATGACAGCACAGCTAGCTGCTATCACAGCTAGCACTCTCTACGCACGCACGATGACAGCACAGCTAGGCGCTATCACAGCTAGCACTCTCTACGCACGCACGATGACAGCACAGCTAGGTGCTATCACAGCTAGCACTCTACGCACGCACGATGACAGCACAGCTAGGTGCTATCACAGCTAGCACTTCTCTACGCACGCACGATGACAGCACAGCGCTATCACAGCTAGCACTCTCTACGCACGCACGATGACAGCACTCTACGCACGCACGATGACAGCACAGCTAGGTGCTATCACAGCTAGCACTCTCCTCTACGCACGCACGATGACAGCACAGCTAGGTGTCTAACAACAGCGCTCTCTTCTAACTACGAACTTCTCGCCTCTCTTCTACTACGTCTAACACGACGATAGCACAGCGTTACGTCAGCACACTCTACCAACGTGATGATAGCATAGTGTTATTAGAACCCCCTCCCCCATCCTCCTACTGACACACGACGATAGTGGTGTGTTATCTCTGCATCATCTCACTCCTTAACCTTAACATCAGGTTGCGCGCCATCGCCCTCTGTACCACCAAATGAGCACGGCATTGCACGACGTTGCACTTGACGATATGCTAGAGTTTTACTACGTTGCACTTCGCTTGCACATGACAAAATTCTAGAGTTTTGCTACGTTGCACTTCGCTTGCACGTGACGAATTTCTAGAGTTTTGCTACGTTGCACTGCGCTTGCACGTGACGAAATTGTTTTGCTACGTTGCACTTCGCTTGCTCGTGACGAAATTCTAGAGTTTTGCTATACGTTGCATTGCGCTTGCACGTGACGAAATTCTAGAGTTTTGCTACGTTGCACTGCGCTTGCACGAGACGAAATTCTAGAGTTTTGCTACGTTGCACTTCGCTTGCACGTGACGAAATTCTAGAGTTTTGCTACGTTGCACTTCGCTTGCACGTGACGAAATTCTAGAGTTTTGCTACGTTGCACTTTGCTTGCACGTGACGAAATTCTAGAGTTTTGCTACGAAATTCTAGAATTTTGCTACGTTTCACTTGCATGTGACGAAATTGTTTTGCTCCGTAAAGTCTGCGCCCCCTTTCGGGGGCACCCCGATGGCGGCGATGTCTTTCGCTCGTGCGTACCTGCAGTGTACGATGATGGGGCCAGCAGCATTGGCAAGCTGGTCGCTGCGCACCTCCTCGAGCATGCGGAGTAACGGCTGCGGGTCGGCGGGCACGCCGTGGTCCGGCCAGGCCGTGAAGTGAAACTGCTTGACCTCCTTCGCAACAGCCTTGGGCAGAAACTGTGTAAAGAGTTTTGACTCTTTACTCTCTCGGCGCTTACTCTCTCTGTCTCTCTCTGTCTCTCTTGCTCTCTCAATAGACTCTCTCTTTCTCTCTCTCTCTCTCTCTCTCTCTCTCTCTCTGTCTCTCTCCCCCCCCTCTCTCTCTCTCTCTCTCTCTCTAGACTCTTTACTCTCTCAGGGGTGGGACAGCAAGATTAGTTTCAGGCGTTAATACCGAACAAACCCGATGCTCTATGATTTTAGGGAAGTGGCACAAGGCACGCGCGTGAGCAAGAGACATCGAAATACGTAAAACCACATGCAGTATGTGCGTGTATAAGAGTCCTAGGAATACGTAACAGGCACGTGGTATAAAAATACGTAAGAGACAGCAATATGTAACAGGCACGTGGTATGAGGGTGTGTAAGATACTGCAATAAATAACACGGTATTAGTAGGGTTTGTAAAAGTCCCGGAAACTTAGCATGTCTTGTGTTTCCACATTTGACCAATAACAATAACACATTCACTGTACTGAGGATACAGGCGGGATTACTGTCTGAAAGACAATAAAATGTGTTTTGAGAGTCCTGGGACAGTTATGGAAAATTGTTTGTCTAAAAGCTTGGTTTACACTACCGACTTTATGTTGGCGAATTGGCGAGTTGGACCAACTTCCCAATTCGCCAACTCCGAGTAGGCGAAAATAGAACATGTTCTAATCTCCCAATTAGTTGCTATCGATCGGTTGGTCGCGCAACTTTTGCGTTTACACTGCCGATTGTTGGTTGGGAAGTTGGTTCAATTCACCAATTCGCCAACACAAGGTCGGTAGTGTAAACCCAGCTAGGTGTTCAACCCCGTATTACTATTAGGTTAAGTAAGATACACAGTAATACATAATGTGGACGTGGTCGTATGGCAAGTAAGAGACATGTAGTGACTGAGTGACTGAGTGTGACGGAGCACTCACCGCCTTGATGGTAAACGTGCGAACGATGTAATGACCCATGTCCTTCACGGAGCTTGACCGCACTTCGATTTCTTTATAGACGTCGGATTTGTCTGGCCAATACTTTTCACACTTCTCCTACATTGTCAATGAAACGTGACATACCACCAATGAAATGTGACACAGCGTAATGCAATATACTAATGGATCGTAACATATATATTAATGTAACACGCTACACGTGTGCAACATGACATATACCGGCATAATAAATCATCCTACACGTAGTAACAAAAATGCACGAGACTGTATGCACAATATCTTGTATGCGTATGACCATGTTTCATTAGTATAACATTTCTACACATGAATATGCGCCAGTGCAACATTTCTGTTATAACAGTGCGCTGCGTAGTAATAACGCATCGCTATAACGTTCCAGAATATTCTTACAAGGTTACATAATATATATTGAATACAGATGGTATTATCTGTATTCTCTATCTATGGTTACATCGCGTGTGCTAAGATAACGTGCCAAAACCATGCTACAGAAAACGCAATCATCCTACCATCCTGCACATTCTGCCCCCCCCCCCCCACACACACATCTATCCTCTTCCTCAACACACATCCGTACATCATCTGATTACTTGCCTTTCCTCTCTCTACCAGGTTGGAGAGCATCACCACCGTACTGCTGCACTCCTGCCACACCATCTCCCAGAACATGTCAAACGTGCGCATGGTGGGACCCTGTGTTGCAATGAACTGTCGTGGCTGCTTGTAACCCTGAAACGCAGCACGACATTCGTCCGAGGACGGACAGCATAACAGGAGTGCGATCGAGATCGAGATCTTATATGAAACCAATATCTTGATTGAAACTAGGATCCAAACCGAAAACGGGATCCTTGCAAAAATAAGATTTCCCAGTAAAACTGATATCACAGTCGAATCAGGGATGCAACCCGAATCCGGTATCCTACTCTAAACTGGGATCGTGAACGATCCATTCGTGACTGGAACTTCAATCCATCTCGAAATCGGAATTCCGAGAGAATCCGACACCCGATCTGTAATGGAGATCCTCACCAAAACTATGATAAGAATCAAGTGCGGGTTCACAACCAAAATCCAGATCGCAGCCAAAACTGGCGGTCCCCGATCGACATTTCCCCGGCGAATTAAATGTTTCAAAGGGTTTTAGGTACAACATGGTCGAATCATGAAGACCTAGGTGTGGTGGGCACCGGGGTAGCATCTAATGGCATTGCCAAACGCATGGACTCACCGATATGTAGTTTGCGTTGATGTAGTCGATGTGTAAGGTGTCATCATCAACGATCGGGTGCAAGATGACACGTGAGTGATCATCTGCATGTGAAAACAACAAGAAGGTTCTCTGTTTGTAAAAGCTGGGGTACATCTACATGTCTGGGCAATAATGGCTATATCATGGCTTGATGGCATACGATGGGCACGCACGCACGCACACGCGCGCGAGCACAAACACACATATACGCATACACACACAAACGTGCACGCACACACACACACACACACACACACACACACACACACACACACACACACACACACACACACATGCCATACCTATCCATCATATAATTCCCATAACTTGCAGGCACTCTTAGGTGGAAATCACCGAGAAGCTAGTAAATAAGGAAAGGTTGGATTTCCAAATGAGAATCAGGTATCTATCTTTTATAGTCTTATTTTCGCTTCACGTACATGCAACGATGTTGGCATAACGGTTGCACCACCGATGCTGCGACGCTTCCTTCCACGTGTACACTTGACCGTACGGGACAGCCTACAAAAGGAAAGGCACGTGAATGCTGTTCTTGCTGAAAGAAATCACGCCACCAGGTGGTGCACCGGGTGATTCTCATTCGGAGATTCTTAACCTTATACAAGTAATCTGTTACCTAACCTTCCACGTGCACCTAATTAATTGATCTTCCACAGGTCATCAATAAGATGGTGTGTGCCAGGTAATAAATCACCCATGACTAACGTATAAGTCAATAATATTAAGTAAGTAAGTCATAACGTATAATCAATAATCAATACTTTAATTGAGGTCAATTGCTTATCTGCTATCAGTATGTTATCTATGATGGTACCTACATCGTATTCCTGTTGCAGGGCCCCTGTAGCCTTGCTGGCTAGCACATAGTCTAGCAAGTCCTCCACTTTAATAGGATTCATCGGCCGGCACCAGGGAGCGTCGGCAGGTGGTCGTTCTAAGGTGGCGATGGCTGTGAATAAAAGCAGCACAATACTCCATTTAGTTGCGGAATTTTCTAGTCGGGGGTTTCGTCTCACTTCGATAGCAGGTATACGCGAATGCCGTGTGTGTAATGTATCACAAAACCTACTATGCCAATGACCTTACACAAAAACACATTCACAGGGAAAACCTCTCTTCTGGAGGGCACACCGCTGCCTTACCTGGCTTTGCATCGCTATACGTAGCTGCAACTGGCAAGTGGAGACGACCGGTTTCTGCAGCTACTGGTAAAGGCACTGCAGCCATGGGTATTTCTGCATTAGACTCGTTCACAGACCTCTCTTCGTCAAGTCTCGTCCGGTTACTCTTCCGTCTTTGCTGACCTTTTTGAGACCGTCTGGTCAAAAGTCCAGGATGTCGTCTGCTTTAGAAAGAAGCCAATCATTCATAACCTACATGTGCTGTGCTCTGGCGGCTTCTAGAACCATAATGTTTTCTTCATTTTATAGGAACATTGTGTCACATGCACGTTTCGGTAATAGTAATATAGCAAACGTATCTACAGAGATGATGAGATGGCAGCTAGCCCGCATAAAGGCCACTTATGTAACTCACCGATAGCTCACAGATCTATCTGACTATGGCCATTGCTACACACTGACTTACCCCTTGCCGTAGTAACTTCTGCATGCTGATTTACCCCTGCCCGTGGTCACTGCTACACACTGGTTTACCCCTGCCCATGGTCACTGCTACACACTGGTTTACCCCTGCCAATGGTCACTGCTGCACACTGACTTACCCTTAGCCGTGGTCACTGCTACACACTGACATACCCCTGCCCATGGTCACTGCTACACACCTACCCCTGCTCGTGTCCCTGCTGCACACTGACTTACCCCGGCCCATGTCACTGCTACACACTGCCAAATGCTAAGCCATGGTCACTGCTACACACTAATTTACCCTTGTCCATGTCACTGCTACACACTGACTTACCCCTGCCAATGGTCACTGCTGCACACTGACTTACCCCTGCCCATGGTCACTGCTGCACACTGACTTACCTGCCCATGGTCACTGCTACATACTGATTTACCTGTCCATGGTTACTGCCACACACTGGCCTACCCCTAACCGTGGTCCCTGCCAAACACTGGCCTACCCCTAACCGTGGTCCCTGCCACACACTGGCCTAACCTTAACCGTGGGCACTGCTGTACACTAGCCTACCCCTAACCGTGGGCACGGCTGTACACTGGCCTAACCCTAGCCGTGATCACTGCTACATACTGCCCTAGCCTTAGCCGTGGCCACTGCTACACACTGGTTTACCCCTATCCGTGGTCACTGTCGCACACTGGCCTACCCCTAGCCCTGCCCTAGCCTTAGTTAGCCGCGGTCACTGCCACACACGGGCATACCCATAACCGTGATCATTGCTATACACTGATTTATGCCTGCCCACGTCACTGCTACACACTGCCCTACCCGTGGTCACTGCTAAACACTGATCCCTAACTATGGTCATTGGTACACCTGATCTACTCCTGCCTATGTATTGTTGACTTATTATAAAATTAACGTGTAATACCTGATAACAAAGATGGCGAGGACAACCAGCACAGCAATAGCAACGGCTGTGCTTACAATGGCAGCGATAGCTCCAGATCTTGTCTCCCCTGGATCTGTGATGGCTTCATAAAAGCGAGAGAATGTCCTTGTGTGAATAAACTCGAATTTTCCCACCACATTACACCGAGGGCCCCAGGGGCCCCCGTTGTCAGAAGCATCGTAAATGGTAAAGTCTCATAAGTCTGATTCAAGAGTTGTTTGGAAACGAAAGAGTTACCTAGACTACGCAAGTTGACTGGTTCGATTAGTAGGGCACTCGTTGAGTAATGCCATTCCTGTAAGGAACCAGAGCAGAATTATATATCACACACCATCTCACATTGTTAGGCTCTATATCAAACAATGTCACGTACTGTTAACCCCTATATCAGTGGTTCTTAACATTTTTTGAGTCATGGACCCCTTTGAAAATCTAGTGAAAGTTACGGACCCCACCCAGAAAAATGCACATAAGCACATATAAACACAATAAACACACTTATGGGCCTGGTCCCTGAAGCCCATCCACAGACCCCAAAGGGATCCAAGGTACCACAGGTTAAGAACCCCTGCCACTCTCATCCCATACTGTACACTACGGTGTCTATATCACATCATATATCATAATCAGACAATATCACACAAGAATTCGATGTTTGGAACTTCACTGCGTTAGTGCATTAACGGGTTCATTAATTTTTTAACCTCGTTTTAGTTGCAGGATAACAATATATAGAGCGTTCAATGTCACATGTTGTGTGGATAGCTGTCACAGACGTGATGAGCACAGTGACCTACCCCGGAGAAGTTAGAGCCGATACCCATGTAGATCATGTAGCTTTGTCCGTTTTCGAGAGCGGCGTTCCAGAACGCGTCGTACGTTTTACCGTCTCCAACGACAAACTGCGTGTCTACCGCGATGCTCTCAGGCGGCAGCTGGGCAGCCACGTAGTACGATGTGTCTGCGGTGGTAGCAGTAGTAGTATAGTAGTAGTAGTGGTGGTGGCGGTGGTGGCGGTGGTGGTGGTGGTGGTGGTGGTGGTGGTGGTGGTGGTGGTGGTGGTGGTGGTTGTGGTCGTGGTGGTGGTTGTGATGGTGGTGGTCGTGGTGGTGGTGGTGGTGGTGGTGGTGGTGGTGGTGGTGGCGGCGGCGGCGGCGGTGGTGGTGGTGGTGTTGGTGGTGATGGTGTAATTGTGGTGGTGGTTGTGGTGGTGTTTGATGGAGCTAGTAGTAGTTGTGGTGGTGGCGGTGGCAGGAGCGGCAGGAGCGGTTGTGGTGGCATTTACAGTGGGGGTGATGGAAATATATTGATGAGGTCGTGGTGGGGTGGGGGGGGGGCAGTAGTGATGGTGAATGTAGTGAATGGGGCGGTTGTGTAGCAGTAGTAGTGGTGATGGTGGAAGGGGAGCTGGATAGGTTGTACAATATACAGAATAATGCCGGTGTCTAGGATTTTTGTTATCGTTTCTCTTTTGCAATGTGAATGTTAATATTAATTTTATAATTTTATAATCAGAATATTTTAGATTTAATTAACACGATCGTTTTCGTTAGTATAGTGGTTATTACGATCATTGTCATTACTCAGAGCTTTGCTGGCGTTGAAATCAGGTAACAGACGTGAGTCGAACGCATACGGTCCTGGTTGCTGTCCGTCACCTACAACTTGGTTTGCTGGCTGCAGCCCTGTGCTCGGGATGGCATCTTGTTCTTCATGGTCGCTGATGCGTTCGACAATCACGTGATAGGCGCTGATCGAAAACAAACGGTCAACGATAAAAAATCAAACAATTAACAAATTGGTAATAATAAATAAATAACGACGGTTTACATTGGAATGAAAAGAGATAACGGTCAGAGTAAATAATTAATGACGGCTTACATTGGAATGGCAAGAGATAACGGTCAGTAGAGGAGGGTTGATCGCGAATATTCCGCATTTCACAGATAATGATGCAGAGTGATTGACCAACAGTGAATAATAGAGGGGGGGGGGCATAAACAGCGATGAATATATAGTGCCGTGTCTAATAGCGGTAGGAAGCAATCTGAAGTCGATGTAAGTTGTCGCTTCATAAAAAATACTCCACGACGAGTACAGCCATTGCCACAATGGGTGCAGCTGTGCTTTGTAGGAGTGATCCTACGTTAACCGGCGACCTTCTCATGTAGGCACTAGAAGGGGTAGGTAACAATCCTGGCTATGTGGATATTACTGTGGGGCTAATCTACGTGATGTGGGACTCTACCGGTGCTCGCACTGGCCGGGCAGAGTTAGCTGTTTATAGATGGCAGCAGTGTGCACACGCTAGGCTCACCTAACGGGACCTGTATCCACCACGATGGGCGACAGTGCCACGCTGATTGTCGACGCCGTCACGAGGGGGCGCTGCGTCTTCGGCACAGTTTCAAGGTTCGGCGCTGAAACGTTGAAGCAGGTTGAAGTGAGAGTTGTGTAATTACCTCCGCGTTGCAAACGGAGGTCATGCAATCGCTCGCGTGTGTGTGTTCGTGTGTGTGTGTAGCCAGCAGCGAGCCAGCTGTTATACACACGCTCAACCGATCGATCGATTCAGCACCAGCTCGCCTTAGGGCGTTCAGTCAGCATCAGCTCGCCTTAGGGCGTCCAGTCAGCAGCAGCTCGCCTTAGGGCGCCCAGTCAGCAGCAGCCAGCAGCGAGCCAGCTGTTATATACATGTATACATGTTACACGCTCGCGGAGGTATGCACTCTCCTTGAGTGCCCTCTCTCTAGTTCATTTGTGAAATTCAGACGAAATTCACAACGTATAGCGTCATAGCCCCATGGGTGAGTTTGTGCATGTGTGCGTGCGTGCGGGTGTGCGTACGTGTGTAACACTATGTGTGGGGGGGGGGGCGTGCTTGTGTGTGTGTATGTGTGGGGGTGTGCGTACGCGTGTG